ATCTATCTATCTATCTATCTATCTATCTATCTATCTATCTATCTATCATCTATCTATCTGCCTATCTATCTATCTATCTATCTATCTATCTATCTATCTACATTATCTATCTATTTATCTATCTACATTATCTATCTATCTATCTATCTATCTATCTATCTATCTATCTATCTATCTATCTATATCTGTATATCTATCTTATCTATCCCTGGAGGAAGAGACCCTGCACCTTTTCTTCTTTGCCAGAAACCTGGATGGCAGGGATTCTGATAGTAAACAAAGGCTCGGGATTGAAAAGACAAGATAAGAATCTCATCATGAGTTTTCCCCAGCCTGGTGCTCTCTGGGATCTAACGCAGGGCAAATTTCCCAGAATTCCCAGCGGAGGAATATTGGGAAGGGGCCATTCTAACCCATCGAATGCACAAAGTTGGGCCAAAACTGCTTTGGCTGGAGGCCAGTATCTCAGTTGTGAAAAGAACACCTAATAACATATCCAGGCCAGACAATTTTAATTCTAGGGTGGATTGGATTGGCTAAGATTAAAACGAAATTATATCTTAGGGAGACATCCTTAAAATCAAATGACCAGGTTAGAATGAAAAAAAATCTGGAGAGAGTTCAGCCTCTGCTCCCCGCCCTTTAGAGTTTCCACAAGGACAGGATTTCATTAGCAAAAACAAAATGTTGTCCTCCGACGTTTGTTGTATCCTCAGAATGCTGGTCATAATAACCCACACTTCTGTTTTTTCTTAAAATGGCCCAGGAGATCGAAGAGCAGGCGCGGAGATTAAAAGAGGAAAAAAACGCAACCGAAAGTGGGATTCCTCCCATTAATCTCGGCAGCGGCGTCGCTCTGGAGTGGAGAAAAATCACTGATACTAATCTGCTGGAATCCGTGCTGAATCGAGTTGAGGCTGCCCACAGCACCAACTTGGAAAATGAGGGTAAAAGCAGAAATGGTGCATATTGATTTGAATGTGTAAGCCCAGGGTGAATAAACCATGAAGAACAACATGTCCTTTGTATTTGATTGTTGTTTCACGTGTTTTCCTGGGTTGACTATCTCGAGTTAAGTATTAAAAGCCACTGAAACACTCCATTTCCTTCCTGTATAATTGCTGAAGGACAGAACTGAATCTTAAGGCTTACAACAAGTTGCTTAACAACCACAGGGTACCCTTTAGTGACTGTGCCGTTCCCTTGAGGACTGCTGCGTTCCCTTAACAGCTGCTGCCAAAAGTTCATAAAACCAGGCATGGTCATGCAGCGGCCTGTTTAACAACGGTCACGACCTGTGGTTGCAATTGTGAGCTCAATTATGATTGTTAAGCCGAGGATAACCTGTCTTTCCATGATCCAGACAGCCGGAGTAATGATCATGAAATATTTTAGCTGGCATGAATGAGGAAGACAGGTAGCTCTCGACTTACAATAGTTCATTTAGTGACCGTTGAAAGTTACAACGGCACCAAAAAAGTGACTTACGATTGTTTTTCACAGTTACAACCTTTGTAGTGGTCATGTGATCAAAATTCAAAGTATGATTCATACTTCATGACTGTTTCAGCGTCCCGTGATCATGTGATTACTTTCTGCAAACTTCTGACAAACAGCCGGATTCACTTAACAACCAAGTTACTAACTTATCAATTGCAGTGATTTACTTAACAGTGGCAAGAAATGCCGTAAAATGGGGCAAACCTCACTCAACAAATTCTCACTTATAACAAGATAAATTTTGGGCTCAATTCTGATTGTTAATTGAGGACTACCTGTAGCATATAACCAACACAGGGTTTTTTTTTTTTTAGTTTTGATATTTGTTTGCTTAATTATGACTTCCACTGTTAAAACTTTTTATACACAGGTTTTGTGAATGCTGGATCTCCATTCTACCTCTGGGAGCAGCCAGCAAGCGGAAAATCGGTCGTGGTATCCAGGTCTATTAGCCGGAGTAAAATGAGGTGGTCACAGGTAGGGATTTAAAGACCAACATTGGCAAATAAATCCTAGAGGAATTAACATTAACGTTTTATTGGCAGAAGTCGCTATTTAGTCATTGCTCTTTTATCAAGTGTGGAAATCTGGTACGCCATTTTTATTTTTTATTTTATTTTTTAAAATGTATTTTTATTGAGTTTCTTTTATTACATCATAAAATATAATTCCAATAGCATTCTTGGCATCCATACAGGTTGTTAATTTAAATATCATAATACATCATATTACATTTATCTAATAATATTAAATAATAGTTTCCACTATAATTACTATCCTTATATCTTTATATAGTTTACATATTTACATTTTACTCTCATAAGGATTATTTCTGGTACGCCATTTTTAATTTATGCTTTTTATCAGTGCTAATATTAGCGTGGGAATTCGGTATCCCATTTCCAGGAAAGGCATGTAAAAAAAAAAACCAAAGCATCCGATGGATAATTGAGACTCCGGAGTGTATTAACTCTGCTTTGTTTAGGTTCGTTAAATGCAAACTGATGCGGGAAATACTCTTGTGATTACCTGATTTTTACCTTTCCCCTTGAAGGTATACAGCCCTGCCATGAAAAGGAGATTCAACAAGATCTCTGCTCTAGCCAAGGGATTTTTAACCAGAAGACTCTTGCAGACAGAGAAGCTAAAGCATCTGAGACAAACGGTCCATGTAAGGAACCATCTGCATAGATGCTCTGGCTGTGAATGTATGTATATGAATATGTGTGTGTGTGTATGTGTGTGTGTATGTGTGTGTGTAAAAGAAGTAACAGACATTCTGCAATCTCCAGAACTTAAAATTACATTTAATGTACTTTCTAAGCTTTCATCGGCCTCTACATATATATATATATATGTGGATCTTTGGTTATTCGGGTTTTCTCCCACGTAAAATTGGAAGTATCTAGGCGACGTTTTGATGAAGTCTCATTCATCATCTTCAGGCTTGTGTCTTCGGCTTTGTAATTACTCTGAGAAGCACAAAGCCGAAGACACAAGCCTGAAGATGATGAATGAGACTTCATCG